GCAGTATTTTGCATATCTTAATAATATTACTCAACGTTTTGTCCAACATAAGTAATTAAAAAGCTTGGTATCAAGGCTACTCATTATCAGCCAAATTTCAGAACTAATAACATTCTGACAAATTCAGTGCAGTTGGAGGTGATAATTAATGTTGATTTTTTAACTCGTAAATAATTTACTGCAATTTAAATAAATGAAATAAATGCTCAAGGAATCGTCTACAAACTGAAAATGCATACAAAAGTTGAGCACTCTATCAATCCAAACATTACTAAAATTATCGAAAATCAAACTTTTTCATCTCATTTTATGGTGATTCTTTGAAAACAATATGAATAATGAATGAAATTCACAAGATCCAACTAGCACGACTAGTTTTATGTGGAACAAACGTGATTTTGATCAAATCTGTGCGATAACATTTCAGAAATTTAGGATTATAGCAAGCAAAAAGTTTATTAGAAGCAAAGTAAGAATTATCTGATTGCCTGCTTGCTTGAAGGAACAATATGTGCTGAGGTCAGTGCAGTTTCTGTTTTCTTTAATACAAATTAGAACTGAAACAAACTCTAAAAAAATAGCAATATGGAACATCTGCAAGAAGTAAATCTGTTAAAAACACACATATAACTGCATATTTTTTGCTAGCATTTTTATCATATAATACAAAAATTCAAATCCGTCATTTATTAAATGCATTTCAAGAAAAAAAAATAGCTAAAGAAAGATTGGATTAAATTAAATTCAAAAGAGTATATTTAAATTATTATCACTGAGAAGTAATAAATTTTATGGTCACTTAGCACTTTTATCAGTACTTTTACATTAATAAGAGAGGAATGACTGCAAGAATAGAATAAATTTTGAGACTGATTGAAGCAGTGATGATATGGATGTTATCACTGTTTATAAACTTGTTGCTATCAGCTTTAACAATAAAAAATATGCAGTGGTGAAATGATGATATAATGAGCATAATAAATAATAATGTATAATTTTCTTTCAATTCCATAATTTATACAAATAACATAGCATGTACTCATATTCAGATGACTAAATGTTTTGTTATTTGTATAAATTATCTATTCAAATGCGCAACTGCCATTCCTCAACATGCGAGAGAAGTATTAATTAATCTGAGCTACAAATTGTTAACACTACCAATATTAATAACAAATATTAAGGAAATTATGCAGTAGTATTGATTAAAATTATCAAGTTATCGTTTTCATTAATATTCCTTATTTCCCTCTTAAATACTCGTGTTTACTTCTAATACTATAAATTATGAATTCGTAATATTAGAGACACAAATACAGTGAATGGATATGATTACATGTTGTATGCATAAATTATAAAAGTAAAAAAAATTTAGACGTGCAGTGATTCTTTCTTATTTTATTTTCGATTGACTTAAACATTTTAATTAGATTACAATCAATAATTTGCATTATAGAGCACTTTCATTAATTCTATTTAATTAAATCTTAATTACAAGTAGCAGCTTACGCTTAACGCTTTACTTATATTGATTGAAATCGATAACTCAAAGTAAGTGATAATAAATAAATGCAAAGTAATCAATTATTAATTTGTGGACAAAATAAACGCACGCAAAATTAGCTACGCTCACAATTTGACAACGCAAACGTTGAGAATGTACAGAGTGAAAGGTCGACAGACGAGTCAGTGTTGGAGACAACGAATAAAAAAACTTGAAGCTTTCTAAAAATCAATAACATTCAGTCTTAATTTTATAACAAACAACCAATAGTCGGCGAGTATTTCAAGTGTTAGCAATGCACAAATGCGCATATGTCTGTGCTTTCTTAAACTGCACACGTGTCTTCTGTCTACTGCGTCTCTGAGCACTTGTCTGTCTTCGTGTGCATGTGTGTGTGCGTGTTTGTATACGTGGAATGAACAGAATGCGGCAAAAAATTAGAAACTTTGTAACTATTCACATATAAACTTGTTTTTTTCTTCAAAATGTTTTTCAAAACAGCAAGCAATTATAACATCATCTTATAAATAAAGAGTGAACGTTTAATACACAACAAATATACGTCATGAGAAACGTCAGGTGAGCAAAGCACTAACAACCATGTGAGTAACTCAAAGCAAGCATAGTTGTAAGCTAAATTCCATTTGAGTTGTTAAAACAAGCATAACAATCACAATCACTTTATCAGTACTTGACATTTAGTCATTATTTTATTATCAGTACTTAATATCTAAAAGAGATCATATTTATCCTGTAAATGAATGGCTGATGAAGAAGAAAGTATATCAGTAGTCATAAATGGATGAATAAGTTCTAATCAGTCAGCTATCTACAATTAATAACAATTGTCAGTAAGGATAAATATTAAAATTTAAAGAAAATAATCCTAAATCTCAACCGCTCACTGCTTAAAATTATAAAATTTCCTACTTTACATTGTTAGCGCTAATTGGTTTTTACTTCCATTTAATTTTTCAACCTTTGACTTTTGTCCTTAACTTTCAATCACTATATTTTACTGAATTCCTTCTCACATCTTAAAATCCTTCGAAGCACTGATCTGACTGATACCAATTAATTCCCTTCTATGCACCAATCATTAACTGCATGATATGTACTGATTTCTTTGCAATCACATCACAATTTCGCTTGTTTTTTCTCTCTTTTTTTCCAATAAAAGTAATAAATTTACAAGCTATAATAATTTTACTCGGCCACACATTCTTAGTAAATAAATGTAAAAATATATCACAAAAATTTTTTAAAGAAATTATAAGCGTGTAAATGACTATAAATACTGTACCACAATGTGGCAATCACAAAAGTTAGCTAAGAAATTAGTTTTGCTCAGTATAAAAGCATACGTTTGTTAATGCATTCCTAATTCCTCAATGCCTTGGGACTCTGATTTTCGTATCGTTTCTATGCTTTCATTCATGAAACTGAAAATTTGCATATTAAAGGAGAGTTATGCAGTAGGTTTTGTTACAGTTTTGACTTCCTTTCTCCTCCTTACAATTGAGGTGTTTTTTGCAAGTTTTCTACTCAGTTCATATTTGATTTTTTGTTGTTATTAAATAAATCTATAATTGGTAATATTTATGATATGGCAGCTGCAAAGTCAAAGAAGAAGCATGTGACAACAGTAAAACGTGGAAAGAAACGTTATGTCCCAAGAAGCAGAAGCAGGCTCTAGACTATACCATTGAATGCAAGAATCCTGTTGAAGATGGTGTCATGAATGCAAATGACTTCGTAGATCTTTTCTGTCATGTTAGATATTCAAGCATTGCAGTGTTAATAATTAACTCGTTGGTGTTTACATATTATTGCGCATTGATTCGTATATAATCATGCTTTTATCAGTTACAGAACAATTATATCACTTCAAATCGGTGCGGACTTAAGAAATGCATACCGCACTCATAAACTTATGTAAAACCTTCATACATATTTTCTAATTTTTATTTTATGCGAATTAGTATTTGTATTGTGTATGCTAGTTGTGACATATCATACGCTAATTCATTTCATTTACCTCTTTTGCACATTTTAGCCCCTTAATAAGGTCTCATTTCTTGATTACAGGCATCTTTCTTGAATGAATGGATCAAAGTAAACGGAAAAGTCGGCACTATGGCTGCATGTGGTGCAAAATTAGACAGACGTACGTAGCTAAAACAAAGCTTATTCTCAGAGGTTATTTTTTGTGTTGTGTTCTCATTTTCTGTGTTGTTTCTCTCTGATAATAAAGCATATGGAGTGCTATTGTTGGTTGATAATGGTACCAATCAGATTTAACTTGTAGGTGCCATTTTCGATAAGATATCAAAAATATCTGACTAAAAAGTATTTTAAACGTAATTCTCTTTTTGTCTGGCTGAGAGTGGTGGCTTCCTCGAAGAATGTGTACGAGCTCAGATATTTGTAGATTAATCAAGATGATGACGATGATAACGGCAGGGAGACGCAAATGTTTTCCAAATGTATTATAGTGTTAATAACTTGAAGTTATTGTTTTTTCTTTGAAAATTAGATACTTCTCTTTTCTTCAATGAACTGACGATCATTTGTTTCTGAATCATCCTAAATCAGATAATTTCATGCTTCAATGATTGGGTAAATGATTGCATTTTGACATGTCTTGAGTTTGTGATTGCGATACTTTCCATGCATTATGGTGCTATATTTCACGTTGAATTGCTCAAGAAATTAATAAATAACATTGATGTTTGAAGTAAATTGTAATTCGATCTCTATATACAGACCAACTAAGAGACAAGAAAGACTTTAACGAAGCTTACTTGGGTCTTAAAAATTTCATTGTTTGAACTGAGCAGAACAATTGCCACTGCTGCTGCTAGCTTCTTTGGCATTAAATTGTTGAGCTAAGATAGTAATCAGATTCTTGTATGTAGCTCTATCACGAAATGGTATTACTGTCATTTCCATCATATTACTGTCGTTTCGGTGTTTTCGAATGTATGCGAAAAATTGTATGATTTCTTCCGAAATTAGATAAAATAACAATGCGTAATTAACTAAATTAATGTTATAAATTAATGTCAAAATTAAAATACCTGTAGAGAAAGCTGACAAAGCATAACGTAGTCATAATCTTCATTCTTGTTGTTCTGGTACAATTTGCTGTTTTCTTGGGAAAAGATTTGATATTGTTGAAGAGAATGAAATGAGAAATTGAGTGGAATACAATATTTTTGACCTTTCACCAATTAGCACAGAATACTGAACAGTACATAAAATATTTATTTATATATGTCCAGTGAATTACAAATAATTATGTTATAAGCAAAGCATGACAAGCTGATGTCAAGAAGCTGGGATTGTAGCGTGGAATATTCTTCGAAGAACTGATTAGTCAACTTTATTCAGAAAAATCAATTTCCAAATGCACAGAAAGTCGGATAATTATCACAAACTTAGCATATATTCTTGAGAGCAAAGACAAATTTCACCGAGTGAAATCAAATGTTATCATAGTAATAGGTGAAAAAACATTATAACTGGTTGGAAATGGCAGAGAAACAATAGAACAGAATCTTGCAGTTGAAGGCATCATTTTGAATCAGCAAAATTCATTTCTTACAAATAAGTGAAGAACTGATCAAAGGAAAGAGCAAGACGATCTGCAGTGAGCAGTTGGGCAAAGAATTTGACCCAAGCGATAGGATAGCAAAGATGAATAAATTATGATATCCGTATAGTCTCAACAAAGAATGTTGGCAAATGCAGTGCATAAGTTATGAACTGCTGCTGACCTGTAGCTAATTTATTGTAGTTTCTGGCCTGAACTTAACTTTCTCATTCATAGCTACAAGTTATCATATAAATTCAGAACATGACAAGTGGTTTGCAAAATTATGCTCTAGTATACATGATGAGCAATTTTTGACAGCAAATGAGAGACAAGAATTACAAGCAATGATGAATCATTTACAAAATGAAATCTGAAAAGTTTGTCCATATTTACACGTTGTTTGAAGTGATAGGAGGACAAATTTTTATTATTTTCTGTAGATAAATGATAAATGCAAATATGCTAGCAGAAATATTCTGCGTACATATTGTTAACTATATATATGTACCAGGTAATTTGGCATAATTTTTGGAAAAATATTTTTGCCGAATCACACTGAACAATAGGTTATTATTTACTGTTACAGCTTATTTTGTAAGGAAGAAAGAAATTTTTTGTACAATTGTCGAAAGTTCTATTGTACTAAATAAAATGAGAATAACAACAAAGTTAGCAGTTCTAGGCCCTATAAATAGTTATCATCCAAACGAGAAATCAGTACCATTTTTGACATGACCGCTAGACTTACAACTAGTACAGACCTACAAGGAATATTTTCTGCTATCAGTTGCATTTTGGCTAGAATTAACATGATTTTTAAATAACATTTTGTGCAGTAACTGTACTCAGGCCATGAAACTTGATTCTTAACACCGCTAGAATATCAGCATGGTTTTGATTTTTAGATTCCTCGAACTAAAATTGATGTGTTTCTTATGTAGAAATAATTTCTAGAAGAAAGTTAGCTAAATTGTGTAATTTTAAGTTTTAATTTCATTATTATTAGCACTTTTGCTATCGGAATTATTAATAAAATTTATCAATTCAATCTCTGGACGAAATTCAAAAATATCTTATCGTTTTAAATAGTTCTTCTAGCTACAAACCATTGCAAACAGATTTACAGACTTCTCTCGTAGTTTTCTGTATACTTACATACTTTTTTTTGCAGAGATTTTTTGGACAAAACGTAGTAAAGTCTTGTAATTAAAAATTTGAAATCACTACTGATATGTTAACAAATTCAAAAGTCTTAGTCTTAATAGAGATATTGAAAAATAAATTGTTTTAATAATTTTTGATGAATAAAAAGTTTTGCAGAATAATGGTGTATGTGCTATGGCTTTTGCTTCCTACCATTGTGTTCGCTTTATCCAAATCAAAAACTAGCGTAAGCCTAATTTTATTTTTTATTTTACGATTATTACAAGATAATGCAGTAAACACTTTGTTGCAATAATTAATTATAGTCATTATGCTTGCAAGTATGGTAATTTCAGCATCCATGTTTGGACTCAATCCAGTCAGCTCGAAAAGTACTGAGAGAAGTAAAACATTTAGTTGATCCTGAAGGACCAAATGTGCGTGATAAGTATGTCAATGAAATGGCGAATTCATTTGATAAAGCAAAAGAAATACATGACGAGATTAACGCTTATTTCAATCGTAGATCTGTTGGTGGTAAAGCGGAATGTATCAGCGTTGCAGACCAATTAACTACAGAATTACCACAACTGATGGCATTGCTGAAAAAACTAATTCGTTTGCATGAAAACAATGATGGCACCGTGGCGGATGAGTTGTGGAATGCTTATTATAAACTTTCGAGGGCAAATTCACTACTTGGAGGTCAAGTACCAAGTCCAGGTGTGAAAGTTATCAAAAGCCAGCAATGTTTCAGTGCAGTAGAAAGTTTGAAAAAAGCGCTTGAACAGTTGAAAAATACAAGCGTACAAGAAGAGAAGAAACTGATAGCTGAGGGTTGCGATGATCCTTTGAAGTTGATAGATTCACGCCTTCTCCAGCTTTCAAAAATCACTGACCTAGTTCGTAGAATACAAACTCGATCAGGAGATGATGATTTAGCAAAATATGCCTGTAAGAAAAATTTAAGCAAAATTCTCCGCATTTTGCGAAAAATTGAAAATATTTTCAAGAAGTCCAATTATGACACGGATAGAGAAAATGAGGATAAATGTATTGGCGTGATCGAGCCGCTATTTACATCAGTTTCTAATGAATTGCAAGCTCCTTAATATGAATTTTTTGATCTAACAGACTTATTATGCACTTTAAAATTGCTCTTCATTTTAGATATGTCTTTTTCTATGTTATAGTGCATTAATTAATAAATTGCTTGATGATATTCAGTCCATGCATGCTACAAACAAATATTAGAATGTAGTCTTGAGCTGGCACAGAATTGAACTACAAGATTAAGCAGTACTGGTCTGCATGTGACACACAGTGCAGTGAACGAATTTCAAAAAGCAAACTGAAGCGCAAAAATCGGATCGAAAGTATTATTAAGTTATGAAGTCAATAAAAAAGAGTTGAAAACTTGTTCTAGAATACTGTTTTTCCTTTTAAATGCAAGTTGATCGTTCAATAAAGATTATTTAGATGTGAAATCTTAAATTTGTTGTTAAATCCAGGCTTTCCATTACAACCTTTGTTAACTTCAGCTTTACAATCGTTGTGAACTTCAAGTCGGTACCGTTGTATAGCTCTTTAATTATTTTGTATCAAGTATGAATTTTGCAGAAAGTAGCACGTGAATTTTTTAGTACAGCTAAACGCTATTCGAAATTATTTTTGCATGCAAAAATTAATACAACCAGCGAAATCTTAGTTGAAATTAATAATTCAATCTCCGAGTGATTCCTTTCAAATCTTCAAATTACCTTAAAAATTAAAATTGCAGCAAAACTGGATGTAAAGAAAATTGGTCTAATGCTCTGGACGAAGTAACTTTATCTGCAATGTCAAATTTTTTTTTTGCAAATTGGAAGCAAAAACTTTATATCTACGAAAGACAGAATACATGAATCTATTTCCGCTCATCCTTCTCATGAACTACGGTTTAACTCATGCAGGGAATATCACGTTCGCCGAGATTTTAAAATAAAGCTGCATAACAATGAGAAATAGGACAATTAAAAATAAGACATTTTCTATTAATATAAATTTATGCACTCTACAAACTGACTTCGAGCATAAAGTGAGATTTCATGCAATTATTGTGTACAATTGTAAAGAAAATTACACACCATCAGTTATCATGAATACGAATAACTGGAAACAGAGATATCTCATCGAAAAGTTAATAGTTCATTAATATCTATTTCAGTGTAATCACTACAAATATAATATGATGAAGTTATTGAACCGTTTTTCCGACAAAAATTGTGTTAAGAGACAAAATATTAGGAGGAAAAAAGAGAAATGATATAAGTGTATAAACAATTTAGAGAGAATGTAGGCACCAAAGAAAATAAAAATAAATTATGATCAAGAAATTTGTCACACTACTGCTGAAATGAAAATTTATTTTAGTCAAGATAAGCCTTACAATCCAATTTATAACAAAATGGAAAAAAAAAACTGACCTTTTTCCTCAAAATTCACTAAACTTTAAAAATTTGGAAATAATTCAATATCACCGACCCGATATCAAATAATACTTCACTTAGATAATGTGAATAACATGCGTCTTTTTTACATCGTTCTAGATCCCAAATAAACTGCATTTGTCACCAGTTTCTAGCGCAAAGTTTTGTTTTTCCCGTTTTTCCAAAATTTGTTGCATAGATAGTACAATGATTTGTTTTATGACACTTGCAACGAGATCCACAGTGCAAACATCATCAAAACTTGGAATGTGTACAAAAAGACAGCAATCTTTGTTATGTCGAAGTGAAATGTAGTAAGAATAGGCGCAAAGATACCTGGAAATCTACTCATCTGATTAAAAAATTTACTGTTACCACTGTCACTACCTGAATTCTTTCAAGTTTTTTTGCTAAAATGAAAGCTACCTGATTTCTTTCGAGTTTTATTGCTATAAAGAAAGCTTTTTCATGGATTTTAAAATTGAAATTTTCGTATGCTTCATCAAGATATCTGCTTCTGATTATGGGGAATTCATTAACAAAGTTTGGCACTAATTCTGAAAACAACCAAGAAAATTTTCTGTATGTCAAAGAAAGCGAGTGCTATCATGTTAAAATGCTTATATTTTTGAAAAGAAAAACGAATAATGTGGAATAAAATGAAAATAAAAATAACCTTCCAGGGTCACAGGATAACTCAAACTGTACATTCTTCCCGACAAATATAGTTTGAACTGCTCTCAGTAATTTCTGGCAGTCTAATCCACAAAATATTGTATTTTCTTCCTCTCTGTTAGAGCAACCAGCCAGTGGACATCTATAGTTCTGCGGTGTTTTCTCTGCAAGTTCATTAATAAGCAACAGTATTAACAAGATTACTTAAAATTTTCGTTACGGCATTGTTATTTCCCAATGCATGCATTTCAGTCAGAAATATAAATGAAACTTACAGAAGCGCTTAGTATAATTTTAGAGAGGAAACAAAAAAAAAATTAGAAAGATTACTGGTAAAATAAAGAGGCAAATTACCTTTGACATCACAGAGAACATAGCCAATCCCACAACTTTTTTTTTCGATTTTAATACAGCGATCTTCTGCATGATATCCCAAATGTATGACAAACTGCAACAGTGATATATAAATCGACAACTTCTATTGCATATTTTCTTCTTAGCAAAGCTGATAATGATATGACGCAAAATCAAATCACTTAGATATAAGAGCCTTGAAAATCCACAAACTTTAATAAAACGCCGGCACGCGAAGGAATCAATCATACATTTATGCACATACATACTTACAGGGATAAAAACACATGATTTCTATGAAATATAAAAGCAGTTTCGACATTAGATGCTATCAGATGATATAAGCATATAAACATACATCAGGACGATGTTTCTGCCATAGTTCAGAGATGGCATTGTCCACGTCATCATATGCTACTGATATCACTTCACCTATGACCCTCGCATTCGGTAAAACATCACTGATACCTAAAATAATTCTGCACAATTATTAACAAAGAAGCTGCTTAAATAATACTTATTCAATAAAATGCGTAACTTCTGTTCATGACAGTTTGATAAACTGAAAAACAAAAACATGATAAAGAAAACAAGCTTTCCATAACTATTTTACCATATAAATCTTACACCTTCTTTAGCAATTTTTCGCACTAAAGCTTCACTAGGATTATCTGTACAAGACTGGAATGGACCGAATCCAGTGAGAACAATTAAAAGTTCCGGTTGTTCCATAAAAGCTGAAAATATTTATACTGTTTACTTTCTAGACAAAACTATATCAGATCAGAAGATTTATGATAATATTAAGGAATTTTAATCAATCTATAAATAAAAAGCAATAATCAAACTTTTCTGAACTTTAATGTGCTATTTAAATATCAATAAAAAAACAGTGGACAAAAACGAGTGCACCTCACTGCAGAAGTTATGGATTCTCAATATTAGACTAGTCATGAGATTGGTAAAAATCACAGCAGTATCGATAGACGACGATAATTTCATTAATTGAAATTTACCAAATCTAATAGTTCGTAACTCTTTCACTATTCGTTGGTGTAAATAATGCATCATTTCAAGAACGTAACATTTATTCACACAATACAGATTGTCGTTATTTGCTTTCAATGCAGCGTCTTTTATTTATTATTCTGGTATTTTTTGATAATTTAGTTGAGCATGATTGTTCAGCTTCAAAAACATGTCTGGAAAGAAGCTAAAATATAAGGACAAGTCTTCGATTCGTTTTGTTGCTCACGAGGATCCACCGTTTATTGCGGAAATTAAGGAGAAGCTGGGTTACAAACCACCTCCAACTATCGAAAATAAGGTACTTTCAACCTTTTTCTGTATTTCTGTTAAGCCTTTGCTTGATTATTCCATGTTCTAGAAGTTCGTAACTCATTGGCAATCTCAAATTCTCAGAAATTTTATGAATAAAATATTTAAAAACAGTTAAATGTTGCGCAGTATTAAGGCTAGTGCAAAACCTGTAATAATTAGAAGTTTATTATGTTGCATCAACTTAACTGTATTTTGATGAAATATGAATTTCATGGTAATGGGATGATGTCTCTAAATTCCACTTTCAGTTACTATAAAAGCATTATGATTAATATTATCATTATTAGTTTTATAGTTCTCTACGTCTGCTGGTGAAGGATATGTTGAAAATGACCTTGAGGAAGATGATTTATTACAGCTTAAGAAAGAAGATAGACCTCAAGTACTACTTTTATTTCGTTATTCCATATACTGGAAATTAATAAATCATTGACAACATGAAAATGTCAAGGACACTTATTTTTTGCTAGTTGGTGTTTTCGACCAAACACACACTATATTGTATATATTATCCCTGTTGATATTTGAAATTTAGATTGTTATCTTGGATTCTGCTGGTGATCTGACTGAAAATGATCTCGAAAAAGAACTGGAAAAGAAGCGTACCGAAGAAGACCGTTAGTTGTTTTCATAATTTTACTTGTCGTATGAGATCTTGAGGTCCAACCAATGTCTGTTAGAAGCTGAAAATTCCACTCCTCGAGAAATTCTATCTTCCCTTGTTCATTTTATGAATGGTAAAATTAAAGGTTTTGAGCAACAAACTTGGTGTCTGTGCGTTAATTTATCCTCTTACTATTGAAGTTTTCAGGACGGAAAATCGAAGAACGAAAAATAGTGTTTAGGAAACCAGTAAAAAGAAAAGATGACCACTTTGAAACAAAAAAATTGGAAAAGCGAAGGCACACAGGAAATAATAATGATGTGGCTTCAAATTCCAGACTGTTGTCTTTTAGTGATGGACAAGATATATGATTCCATTGTCTTATTCTACTCTTCAGTATATATGAAGCAATGTGCTCTATTATCACAGTTTTATGTGCACTTCACATATTTGTAAAGTTTGCCATTGATATGTTATAATGAAGTTGCAAACATAGAGGCTGAGGAATTTTCAATACCGTGTGGAGGGTTTGAAAATTTCAAGAATAAGATTTGTAAATAGATTTATTACAGTAAAGCTTTATCGGCTCAGAAAGATATTAACTAAAACAAAACTGATAAATGAAGTAGATATGAAGTTTATATAAGAGCGATGCAACGATACAAGTCTTCATATAAAAGTACGTTGAAAACTACTGACAATGTGATAAAAAGAAACCATCAACGGTAAAGAAATTTAAAAGCTATGAGATCAAACCTCCAAGTGACTAGACTGATACTTCAACAGACTCGCAATTATATCACTTTTTAGGGATATAATCATAATTTCGGATGTGGCATTACAAATAATGCAAAAACAAAGTTCTTACGATATAGCACTCTTCAAATTTTTTTTCATCATAGCAACTTTGGCTCAAATAACGAAGCGTATCTTAAATAGTTGATATTATGAACGGCACTAAAACCTAGAAATACAAATTAGGCATGTCAATTCTCATAAGACAATGGAAATGCACAGTGATGAGGCACTAAATAAGTGAATAAAATAGGACAGGTTCCTGAGAAAAATGATCAACTTTCAGACCTAGCATCATCTAGAGTCTATGGAATTTAGTTCTGCTTCTACTTCTTCTATGGAATCAAGTTCCGCTTCTACGTCCTCATCCGCTTGCTGCTTCCCATACCTTGTATTTGTGTGCTGTAAAACGTCGTATTATGTATAAGTTAACTGAATATGATGTTAGGTCACTGCAGTGAAACATTAGCAATCAAAATGGGTTGGGAATACTTTTTGTAATCCCAAATTCATTTGTGTTAAAGAAATTCAATTTTATAGTATCATATTCATTCTAACTCTAAGAATGCAATGGATTTAATTTTCTCTACACACTGAAATTTATTAATGACTAAATAAACTTACATATTTGCTTTTATGGTATAGCACAAATCCAATTAATAAAACAGTGAAGAAACAAGTAACCACAATAATAATAGCTGTTGTGTACACATAACTTCCTGGTGAGAGCATTAGCTTGCTATTCTCAGACGTAGTTTTTACATTGTCACTTTTAACATCGATAAGTCGTATCAGGGGGCACTGATGATAATTGGCTGATGTTCGAAAATATGGGCACCTCTAAAAGATTTTAATGAAATCAACAAATCAGAAAAAAGACTTAGATATACAAAGCAAATTAAGCGCTAGCGTCAGCAGTGATACATGAAATATGAAGCACCCAGTTGCTTTTATCCTTCTTTTCATTTCTTGTAAATAATAGACAGAAATTTTGAAACAGACCAGTCTGTCATAAATTAAAGAATTCAAACTTGCCATTGATGGACAGTAATAAGAATCTTGAGAAAGTACAGCTAATGAAAGATTGTAAGTAGATCCAATCATAAGTTTATTCCATAGCCATTTCGTAGCATAAGTACGTCCTTTCTGATTTAGAAGCGGACGGTTTGGAATAAGAAAGGAAAAAGGATGACGGGACGCAATGGTCAACATAGGTAATGTTAAGAGGCCAAATTTTTGTCTCTGAAAACGCACAATAACTTAGACCATTAGAATTATGTGATGTTTAAAAGAGCTGATTTAATTTGTGATCATTTTTGTGCAAAGAAAACAAAAACACAGTCGCTCATCAGTACTTCTTTAACTATATTCATAATTTATAGAATTATTAAATTACGTCAATGTGAACAGCGTAAACAATATGAAGCAAAAGAAAATGAAAAAATTTGATTTTTATAAACAGTCTGCTTATCTTTAATTATAGATGGTATCATTACTCTGATATATGGTTTCTCAAAATAGGCTTGCAAATCACTGAATGCTAACGTCCATTTCCTGCTTAATATTTTTATTGATTCGTCTGATTTTTCTCTCAAACAATCACAAAACGATCTGAAATTATCTAACATTAAATGAATAACCAACAGTGTATCAACTGGATAATGAAGCTGAAATATTCTACTTGAGCAAATTTGTGTCTCTATGATGAGAAAATGAAAGATGAATCGGTCCAACCATTATTACAAAAACGTTATCAATTCCCTGATCCAAAATCAACAGAGAATTCAAAAGAGCATTGTAATCAGGTGGCGCACAAAGCTTACAAATCTATAACAAAACAAAGATTAAAAAATACAGATAGATTATGTCTTATCTCCAACATTTGCTGGTATTAACATTCTTATATTTAGCATCATAATACAAAAAGACTAAATTTACAGAAGTAAACCTAAAGCAATCAAAATTTTCATACTTCTTCAGTACCAACAGTTATGATAACCAATGTCCATACATCAGTGAAGTTTACACCACGTATTAAATTGAACCTACGGACCAATTCCCTGGCCTAAAACGATAAATAGCTTGAAAATATTCAAACAAGTTTTGCATTCATAAAAGTTCGACAATCACATTGTTTAATACTTTCCATCAACAATTTTTGCAATTTCACTAGAAAAATGAATGACCTGTGATGGCATGCTCGAGGAAGTAGCACCATCTTCAGCAACGTTTAATTGGTGGTCTGGTAATTGTGATCTTGTGCCCATACCATGCGATACTCCAATTAACTTGTTATTGAATTCATATAAAATGTCTGAAATATTCGTTAGGGCTGTCAACTTTGGTCATAAAATGAGTCAACATGATGTAAAACTGAAAGACTAAGTCAAAGTGAAAACGAAAACATCATAAAACGAATGAAATTAATAGAAATTAAATCAATAAACACACTAGCAATAGTAACAAGGCCATCAATTGTTGCATCGCCACCAATTGGGAAAGCTGCTCCACGAAATTCGATTTCTGTCTGGGACCACAATCCCCTTCCAGTCTGCAAAAAAATAAGCTCAAACTTCCGTCAATTTTGCAAGTAATTATTTTTCCGCCTCGTGAATAGACCTGGTAATGCTTGTAGTTTTTGCCATACAGAAGATTTTTACCATCACATTTATATGCTACTTGAAACACTAACCCAAATTTTACTGCAGAATGCGAAAAATATAATAATATAATTTACTAAATCCTTTATTTTAATGAGTCGTATCTTCAAGCACTAAATTGAAATTCGAATATTAATCATCAATTTTTAGAAGAAAAGATGAAGTATAAACAAACAGCAACAGAATCGCCCATAGCGGCAATGATTTGGATATCTTCAGGACTTAGGTTACTCATATTTGTGCCGGTCAGAAAATCATTTTTGATTTTTGGACAACTGAATGTCTTCTGACTGCTGAATGAATTGTAAATAACAGACACAGAATCGCTTAAAGCAATTTCCGGTTCTTGAGGGTTTACTAGATCACGAATTTTTAATGGCGATAGACTTAAATTGATTTCGTCAGCTGGATTCCTGGAAACTTTTCACTTATACACTCGATATCAGTAAAAAATGATTACTACTAGTATGAAATCGACCACTCACTGACTAGATATGTTTATTATAATTAACAAGAAGCTAATAAATTATTTCAACTTCAAGAGACGATGAATACCATAAAAAATAGAAAAACGAAGTAAATACGGCAGTTTTCAAGAATTTTTTAAAAGACACTAGAGAAACAAAAAGAAAAATTTGCCCGTTACATAATCTACCCTTTTAAAAAAGCGTGTCAAAACTTACGTTTCTTCACTAACACCACTATCAGCTTCATGCTTATCTTCTGACATTTCTTCTGAACTATCATCTTTACCATAAGCATTTCGATCAATCACTGAAATGATCTCTTTGACATTATTCCCAAGTTTTCCAAGTTCTATAATTTCAAACAGTATGAAGTTTTATTTCAACACCATTAAAGTCATAAGTTAACCAGCAGGAGACATTACTGCTTTATATCAGCATCGGACTACATACTTTTGAATTACAATAAAAGTATGTGATTTCAAAATAAAAGTATACGCAACCCTCAGAATAATTTAGTATCTCACTTTTTATAAAATAATTTAGTGAAAATAAACATATTTATTATTTAGTTGCTACTTGCTTACCATATTGAAGTGGTATGTTGGTAGACTGCGATACATCTTTTATGGATCTTTTAGTGGGTCCGTAAATCTTAAACAATTCGATAATTATATCCTGCTATAACTATTACAGGATAAAAAACTTAGCGTATTTCTAGTACCTACATGAAGATGCAAAGTTTACACATCGCAATATCAAATGTTAACCAGTGTTTATTTCTCCATTCTCAAAAATTTTAATAAAAACTTTAAATCTCTAATAAAATTAAAGTTTTTGGCAAAATTATGCAAAGTAGTAATTAGCAAAAAGAACAAACAAATTAAAACATACGGAAAGACTAGAAGAGATGAAATCTGCTGCAGTAATTGAAGCGCTAATGAGGAAAACCAAATAACAAATGCAATAAAGAATCGTAGAGGCGGTGTACTTTTTTCGATCACGTACACCAGCCCGAACACACGGTGAAAGCACGACCATCACTCGAATGAGAATATCGTTAACTGAAGTGTGCTTCCATTCCTTTCCATTCCCTACAAATCAATCCTCCTTCCACACTTTAGCCAATCACATACCACTCCTCAGTTATTAATCCATACTTGTGCGAGGTCAAGGTTATAAAGTGTCGAAGGTCAACCATAATACTAAAACATGCACACATTTCTACACACAGACGCAGTCGCCATCTTATTCCGAATAAGCTACGGGTGAATAAATAATATGGCATGTTCTCTGTTCTGCTCAGGAACTTGCTTTCTTCTACGTATCATCTACGTATGTCTGTCTCTCTTCCATCAGTTGTTTGCATTTAGTAACACTCTTAAGTCTTGTGTTTGACTCATACATTGGGGGCCGTGTGCGTGTGTGTGTGTCTACGCATTGGGCATGTATGCACCCAACCTCACCTCTATATCATCCTTACATGTGTCGGCACTTCATTTTGCAGTTTACATATACGTGCATTTGTGAACATCGTAGCAAACGTGTGCATTTGAGTCATTCATCACGTTGCAACTCATCTAAATGAATGTCTACACATTCCACGTGGTTTTGTTTATATGTGCAGTTCACGTGTGTGTGTGTATGTTTTTTTTGTTTTTTTTTTGAATTTGAATAGATGCAATTAAGTACCTTTTTCATTTTCAGGAAGGTGCATAAAAAAGAATAAAGATCTTAGATCTTAAAACTATCACTTATCACCAAAATCTTGTCTGAATTGACAAGTCAGCCTGATAATGCTTTGTTTTTGTCACTTATAAAATATGAGAAATCAGCGAATGAAAAACTCAAAAGACAGGTCTGAAACAAAGCATATAATGTGTGTTGAGTAACATATTCAGAATCGCCGAGAAACAGTGAGTAGTGATTGCCTAGCTACAAATCAATGGATGCCACTTTAAAGCATGTTCCTTCTGATTCAATTCCGGTAATTTCATATACGTGTAAGATGTTTTCTCAGCAATTCTTCAATTGCGTACTGAACTAATGATAAGCAGAGAAAGGAAGAAGTGAACGGAAAGAAAAATAAATGGATAAAGATTGTAAGGGCAAAGTGATGGAGATATGAGCAGAAGAAACTTACTCAGACGTCAACGGGGACATGGCTTTATTCTGTTCTCGCTGACAGTTGAGTAAGTCCATGTATTTATTTATAGTTTAATCTATTTTTTATCGCATTCTCTTCGATAAAAATGACAAAAAGTCCACATCGACAGTTTAAAAAGCTTATTCAAAAATTAACATGCAAATAATCTCCGAAATAATTTTTGAGTGGCAAGTTGTTCAATCCTATCGATATAAATCTCGAACTGAGCACTGGATATAAAAGGTCGTAGCTGAATTTGCTACAATCTAAAATTGTATCAGGTGAAGGTAATGTAATTATAATTATATAATAATTATTAAGATGGTTATTTTTTGTGTCTATTTATTTACCAATATTAATATTATTAGTATTCAGTACATTGTCATGTTCACTAATTTTTTGAAATAATAATAGGATGAATGGGAGTAATATTAATATTAATATTATCAATTAAATTTACCATCAAAATTATGTTTACTAAAAACTCAGTAATCTATCACTTCTAAAAAATTAATTTGTAATCTTAATACTCCAAGCATTAATTTATATATAATCAAGTAGATGGTTCAGATAGTTGTCTACCACCACCCGCTAGCTCACTTTTTGAACTGAAAACCTGAAAACATTCGTAACAGTCAGGTCAAACAGTGAAACACTTTTCTCGAGACCTAACAACAAGGAAAGTAGCAGTCCTGTGACACGCTTAGAGATATGAATTCAACTTTCAAAATGCTAGACAAATATTAAAATACAACGTGAAAACACAAATAAGATGGAAGATAAAGCATTTTCAAAGTAATAATTATCCATCCTATACAACTTAGACAGAAAAAATGCTCTAAAAATAAAATGAACAATGAAAAATAAATATGCAAATGTAATCAGCTGCAATCAACTTCTGCAAAGAATAGATCAAAGTAACTTTACGTATTGTCAACTGCTCGTTTTCGTTCCAATTTATTCGGACTGCACTACATTTCCTGCCCCAAATTCTTCAGTGTTGTCAGTGTTTTCGAACATTTCGTTCAGTCGCTTTATCTGCTGAGAATTACGTAAATAGCCATAGTGAGACTCAGCAAATAAATTAGCTTTTCTTTCTTGAACATAAGATTGCAACGTGTTAAAAATTTGTGGTATTAAAAATGATTAATTAATAAAAATTTGCATAATTGAAAGGGAGCAGAATTGTGCAGCACTCTGCCAAGTACTTGATGATAATATATTGTTCCTTAGCTCATTTGCATAGTTTGTAATGAATCAAAGGTTTTTTGCTACCCATATTATTACCTTGATTGCTTAAAAAGTGCGCGAAGTTGCAGCTTTTTCTAGAACTTAACAAGTGCTAATATCTAACTGTGCATTTAACTGTTCACTCATCCGAGCTATACATGAAAGTTGACTTGTGCGTTCTCTGTGGCATTTCAACCAAACATAACTTTCTAAGTTTTGAGCGCAATAAATGGACTTTTGCGATTGCTTTCAATTTTTCCAAAAAATTGTAATTGAAGAATTTAATTTCTTCGAAAGAAAGTCATTGAAGAAAGTAATCGCAATCATTTCTTGTTCTTTGAGAAATGACTGCAACTGCTCGCTCTTGCAGTAGCGATAGAGCTTTGATATTGGTTTGAAATAATTTGCATTGTGCACAAAAGTCAGAATACTGCTTTTAATTAATTGAAATAATCATGGAATGAACATTTTGAAGAGAAACAAAAATCGATAGCATAATTGAAATTATATGTTAAGAGATACGAGACAAAACATTGATTGGTATCTTTTTAATGAAAATCGGCGCAGTTCGGTCGAAGTAAAAAGCCCAAAAACAAACACATACAGACAGAATTTTGCTCAGATGAATTGCAAGTAGAACTTTCTCTAAGTGGTCAGCAGATTTCTTTAATTTTTTATGCACTGCACACAATTTTTAATAACAAAGCATAATTTTATGGAGTATAAAAGGTTATGTATTGAGTATGAATCAGTGAGTGCATAAAATTGTCATCATAACAAAATGAAGGCAAAATTAATCAAATGGCTTGAATCTAATACTTTCGCAGCATACAACTCTTTGGGAAACAGGAATTCGCGCACAGTTTTAAATAGTAATGCAACATTTTGGTAAACGTAATAGATATTTTTGAATGTACAGCTTGAAAAGCACTATGATAGCTGTCAGGCACAAATTCATAACTAAGAATCCGGAAGGAATTGGTGAAGTTCTTCATAGTTGAATACTTTTTGTAATTCATTATAGTGAGCACAAAAATACAAGTGATTAGTTACGTAGCATACGTCAGTTTTTGAAAAACAAAAATTTATGCAACATTTTTCAGCAGTGGCAAAGCATTTTCTGTGGTTGAATTTATAATTGACTAAAAATGGTTATTTAAGATTAACTAATGCATAATTTTTGCTTGCTAACTTCTGCCACTATTTTCGTAAAAGACTAAGCAATTTGCATATCAAATATTAAAATTTTTCTTTCCATTACACAAGAAATTTCATTTATTTT